CACTCCTCCCCCTGGAATTATTTCAGTCCCTGTTGTTAGAAATCTTGGCTCTGATGCTTAAAGCTTCTTGACCATGGCTTTTGGTTGGTGATTTTCATGAGAGGCTCTTGGGACTGACTGTAGGGGACATGTCTGGTTGCCCCAATGCCTGGGATTATCTACTGGCATTTTGTAAGTAGGGACTAAGAAAGCTAAATTTAGAGCCCACAACAAAGAACTGTGCCGCCCAGATGCTGGGATTATACCCGGGAGAAACGTCGACCTGGGTTTGCAGCAGAACCAAAGCCGTCTTCCTACGAAGACCCTCAGAGCCCCTCCGTGTGCTGTCTCCTCTCGAGGTGGCCTCCAGGGCCTGGGAGGGGGCTGCAGGACCGGTGGGCAAGACAGAGCCAGTTACAAAGTGGGTCCTGGGAGCCCAGGACACATGCAGCTGTGCTGGCAGTGAAGTGAGATCAAACACAAGGCCTTTCTCAGCTCCCCGTCCTTGACCTCAAAATAGGACCTAGCATCCCAGGCCCTGGGTTTCTCCTCGTGTAGGGACTGAGCAGGAGGCAGCCAGCATGAACCTGTGCTGTGAGAGGCCCCGGGAGGAGCTGATGGGGCTCAGACTGTTCACACCTGGCTGGCTGACCAGAGCTGGGGGTGGGGTGAAGGGGTGAGGGGTGCTCCTGAGCAGGCGGCAGGTGGGGGTGCCTGTGGGGGGGCAGGGAAGGTGCACGTGGAAATTCATGACTGGAGTGGCTGGGCTTCGCACAGAGGAGGGATGTTGGAGGTGTGTGTCCAGGCCGAGCGTGCCTGAGACGGGCAGGCTGCCTTTCAGGAGCTACTTTCCTGGCCTCAGGGTTACCTGTTGGGGCCCCGGAGGCTGAGAAAGGATAAGAAACGGGCAGAGCAGCTGTGCTCCTGGGTTCCATACTCCATTGACTCCATCCACGGTCACTCACAGCCGCGGCTGCTGCCAGGTGGCTGGGCAGGTGGAAGCTGGCACCTCTCGGGCAACGTCGATAGCTTGCTTCCCCACCCTTTCACCCCCTCGGGATCTGCAGTGCTTTTGACTCTCCTATGCATGGTTTATTCCCCTGGTGCGGGTGACAGCAACGCCCGCAGTCCACTTCCTGCCTAACCGTCGACCAAAACGGTCAGCGGGGCCCCGGGAGGCCTCCGTGCAGGGCCCGCGGGAGGCACGGCGCTGGCTGGTTCCAGCACGGAGCGGCTGTGGCCCGCCGTTTGCTTTACAGCAGGTTTCCGTTGCAGGATTCTACTTAGCTTTGCCTTGGATGAAATAAACGTGGCGTTGACTAGACGTGGTTTGTGGTCTTCGTTTTTGGCTAATTGGGGATCGGGTCCGGCTTTGTTACTTGCTGGCTGTGACTGGATGAGTTTTTTCACTTCTGCGAGCATCACCTCCATCACTTTGTGTCTAAACCGTGACCTGCTCGGCGAGATGTCACTCGTACCGCCTTCAGGGCGTCTGGCACATTCACAGGCGTGCAAGTCACGTCAGTGCTGCCACCTTCCTGGAGAGGCTGGAAGGTGGGAATTCAACACCGAGACCATTGCCAGGGCCCTCGCTGCCCCTGGGTAGTAATTCAGGTCCCATCAAATGCCATTGGACTCCCAACCCGAGGCTAACGCTTGGATCCAGGTGGAATCCACTTCGAATGAGCAAGGCAGCCTTGAGGGGAGCAGGGCAGACAGCTCGCTGCTGCCCACGCGTGTGGGTGCTGTGGGCTGGGCACCGCCGGCCTCTCCACGGGCCGTTCTAGGGACAAGCTACCTGGCGGGGGGGGGGGCGCAGGCTACACCCCAGGAACGACTCTGCCCGGGCACATTGCATAGCGCCCGCCTGGACTGTTTTCGCGCGGATACCCACGCACTCCTGCCTTCGGAAGCCTTCCTGCTGCTGGGCACGGGCCGGGCTGAGGAGGAGTCGGGAGACATGCGTGCGTGGGTCTGCTTCTGCTCTGGGACTGATCAACCACCATCCTCAGCACCCTGGCGCCCTCTCTCCCGAGGGTTCACAGAGGCAGCTGTGGCTGGGGAGGAGCGAGGGAGCCACAGTGCCGACAGCCTCCCGGGCCGGCCTCGCCTCAGGGAGGATCCCATCACGGCCTCTGTGCTCCTACAGAGACTGGGACGTGTGCTTCCTGGGTGCCCGGCAGAAAAGGGAAGTGTGTCTTGGTTTAACACAGAGCGAGTGGGAGAGACGGACAGGATTTCGGGGAGCTGCAAGAGGTCCAGCTGTGGCTGAAGCACGGCTGGTGTGGGGAGGGAGCAGGCTGTGCAGCAGGCAGGTGGGCAGGGCCCAGGTCACGCAGGGCTTGCAGGCAGTGCCAGGAGGTTCACGGTTTATCCAGGGGCAACGGGGAGCCCCTGGAAGAATTTAGCAGGGGAGAGACAGGACTGGCAGACCAGGAGACAGTGAACGTGCTGGCCCAGTGTGGCTGCCCCGGCAAGAGACAGGCAGAAGGGGGTGGGGGAAGTGCGAGGGGTGGGGTAATTTAGAAAGTAGAACCCCCAGAGCTCAATTTCAAGGTGGTCAGGGTGACTTCTAAGTCCCTCCTCAGATGACTGGTGCTTAGAGGTAAGTGTGCCCAGAAAGGTGACTGCCGAGAGCAGCCTATTGGGGTGGGGGTGGAGAGGGTAAGCTCACTTACGAAAATATTGAGTTTGCCCACAGGATACCAGAATAGTAAAGCGTTGAAGACAGTTGAAGACAAGAGTGTAGAACGTAGG